TCCGGTGGAGGCCTTGGTAGCTGTGATCCATTAGTCCTTCGGACTGATGTTCTCCTTGTATCCTGTTCTCTTCATTCTCCCTTGCTCCCGAAGGGATGAGACCAGTGGAGTGTCTCAGATGGCCGCTCACAGGCTTTTAAGACCCCAGACGATAACTCACCAAGGTAGAATGGTACAGGGATTTTTGTTGTTTTGTTTTGTTTTTTTGGAAGGATGTTAAAAGCTTCTTTTTTTCCCCCTTTGTTTTCCCCTTCATTTACTAGTTTTTAAAATAATGCATTGGTTTACGAACAGTCCTCCAACATTTACCCAGTTTTTTGTTTATTTTTTATGTGTCATTAAGAACTCCCAGATTTAAACATATTGCTGAATTCATCGTACTGTAATTATTGTCCTTACTGATGCTTATGTCCCAGGCTGGTTCTTGTGTTCTTTTTTTTTTTCCTAATTGTACTTTAGATGAAGGTTTACAGAGCAAACTGGTTTCTCATTAAACAATTAATACACATATTGTTTTGTGACATTGGTTGCCAACCTCACAACATGTCAACGCTCTCCCCTTCTTGACCTTGGGTTCCCCATTTTCAGCTTTCCTGTCCCCTCCTGCCTTCTTGTCCTTGCCCCTGGGCTACCTTTTCATGAGTTTTTATAGTAGGGGTCTCATATAATATTTGTTCTTTTGTGATTGATTTATTTCACTCAGCATAATGCCTTCCGGATTCGTCCATGTTGTGAGATGCTACACAGATTCATCATTGTTCTTTATCGTTGCATAGTATTCCATTGTCTGTATGTACTATAGTTTGTTTATCCATTCGTTGATAGGCACCTGGGTTGTTTCCATCTTTATGCTATTGTGAACAGTGCTGCATTGAATGCGGGTATGCATATGTCTGTTCATGTGACGGCTCTTATTTCTCTAGGATATATTCCTAGGAGTGGGATTGCTGGATCATATGGTATTTCTATTTCTAGCTTTTTAAGGAAGCACCATACTGTTTTCCAAAATGGTCCTGTGTTCTTTTGACATGACCATGGTAAGAATTTATTAATAGAGTCTTTACTCTTTGGTGTTTCAAAATATGCCTGGCTCGTCTTGTGCATACTGGGAATCAGCCACTTGCCAAGGAGCCCTGACCTTTTGATGGGAATTTGTATTTCAAAACTGTAATCTGGGGTACCCTGGTACTGAGTTGTTCATCGTTTCTAGGCATTTTTAGTGGACAGAGCTAGGAAATATGTTTGTGGGCGTGTGTGCATGTGTATTTACATTTAAGGATAAAATACAACAGAAGTTCATACTGATATTTTCAATTAAGATTCAAAGCTACAGGTTTTTTACTGTGTATCCTGTGTCTTATAGCTGTATCTCTTTTTCTCCCATGAAGAAAATCTCAGTTCTCAAGGATACTAGAGGTGATGGAATTAGAATGTCACACATGTACTCATTTGCTTTATTCCATCTTAATCACAGCTGTCTCAGCCTAACAGTACTTATTCTTCCACCAAAAATATGATTATTTAAATTTCTTACTAGTTCTTTTTTGTCTTTAGGCTGTATTTCACTAGTCATGTGCTAATTATTATGTTTTACAAATCACATGGAGTAGTCCCTTTCTTATGGTTATGCTGCCAGTGCTATAAAAATTTAGGTTCTTTTATTTAATTTTGTCCGTTAACATTAAATCTCTTTCATTAGGTAGGAAGAGTGGCATTTCTCCTAAAAAATCAAAATACATGACTCCAATGCAGCAGAAATTAAATGAAGTCTATGAGGCTGTAAAGAACTATACTGATAAAAGGGGTCGCCGCCTCAGTGCCATATTTCTGAGGCTTCCCTCCAGATCCGAGCTGCCTGACTACTATCTGACCATCAAAAAGCCCATGGACATGGAAAAAATTCGAAGTCACATGATGGCCAACAAGTACCAAGATATAGACTCTATGGTTGAGGACTTTGTCATGATGTTTAACAACGCCTGTACGTACAATGAGCCTGAGTCCCTGATCTACAAAGATGCCCTTGTTCTACACAAAGTCCTGCTTGAAACTCGCAGAGACCTTGAGGGAGATGAGGACTCTCATGTCCCAAATGTGACCTTGCTGATTCAGGAACTTATCCACAATCTTTTTGTGTCAGTCATGAGTCATCAGGATGATGAGGGAAGATGCTACAGTGATTCCTTAGCAGAAATTCCTGCTGTGGATCCCAGCTTTCCAAACAAACCTCCTCTTACCTTTGACATAATTAGGAAGAATGTTGAAAATAATCGCTACCGGCGGCTTGATTTATTTCAGGAGCATATGTTTGAAGTATTGGAAAGAGCAAGAAGGATGAATCGGTATGTTTTCAGAGCCATTTCTTTTTGAGAAGTGAGATATTTAGTGCAAAACAAGAAGGAATACTGGTTTGATATACTATTTCAGCTTGGGTACATTGTTACAGTTGGTAAGATGCCATTCTGAATTCTAACCGGCCAGAACTTCTATACAGCACCTGTTCTGTGGGGGAGAGGGCACACTTCTTAATCATCTAGATTAGGGCCAGGGAGAAGAAGGGGTAAGCCAAAATTGAAGATCTGTTAAAAAGTATCAACTCTTAAAATACAACCTTTTGCAGAACATGATTTTAAAAGGATAAAATGCTAGTAATTAGAAATAGTAACATGACTTTTCTTTTAAAAGTTTAAATTCAATCCAAGAATGTTTTAAATAAAATAGTTTTGACCTGAGGTTAGCATTATTTAAATTTGACAACCATTTCAAGAACGTAAAAAGGCTTCTTTTTTTTTCCTTAATCTCACATTTCTCACTTTAAGAGTAGATGTGAAATGTTGTAGAAGAATCAACCAAGAAACAACCATGCTTAAATTTCCATCAGATTTCAGTTTTCTTTAATTTTGACTTGTGGTGTATGTTTGCCGCACATTGATAGCATACTCAACTGTTACAACAGGTTCAATTCAGCGGTTACAGCGTGTCTTCTGAGTGCTGTTGGAGGCACTTGGGGAATGTAGACAGTTAAGGATACTAACCCCCACCCCTGGAGCTCAGTCTATCTTGCTGAAAGCTAGGCCTCTAGGCAGTGTGCCTGGGTGTGTGGGGGATGTCCAGCTAGGGAGTCTGTGAAGCCCATTAAAGAAAGTGCATTTGCTCTGGACCTTGAAAGACAAATGAATAGTAACGTTTGCTATACCAGTTAAACACCTGCTGTTTATGTAAAGCACTATGCTAGGCACGTTATGTAAATCGTCTCTAACCCTTACAACAGCCATTCTATGGAGTTGATAATCTTCCCAGTTTGTATATGAAGAACCCAAGGCACAGGCAGAGAGAAGTGCGTTTCCAAAGTCTCATAACTAGTAAATGGTGTGGCGCATCTTGTTCCCCACTGCAGCGTGCTGCTGCTCGTACTAATCATGGAACACAGCCAGGCACATCAAGGCTTGAGCTCTGTGCTCTAAGAGCTTGAAGTCTGACAGATAATACAGGACCTGTGCTTAGGAGAAAATTCCAGACATAAGACAATATGTAACAACCTGATACTTAGTTAAGTCAGTGTCATATGGGATAAGGAATTCTGTGGCCTGGAGTTCTCCTAAAAAGACAAAAGTTATCAGGGAAGAATAGGAGGATGGGTAGGATTCAGATGAGCAGTGGGGAAGATCTTTCAGGTAAGCTGAGTGATATGAGCAGAGGCATAGGGTTAGGGAACAAATATGGTCTGTTAAGAGACAAGAAGAGTTGGGGCCAAATTGGAGAGGTCCTTGAAAGACACATTTAGAAAGTGGCCCTTATTCTTAGACAGTGGGAGTAGAAATAAAGAGAAAGATGGAAGGACATCTTGTAGTCAAAATCTGCAAGAGCTATTCCTTTATTCAACAAATGTTTATTGAGTAGTTTCCAGTTAATGTTCTGGGTGCTTGGGATACACCAATGAACAAAACAGACAGAAGCTCTGCTTTCACTGAGCTTAAACATCTGTGTTTGTTCTTGTTTTACTTTAGTAATCCTTAAGTCTAAAGCCAGTTCCCCAGACCCCATTACATCTTGGGGTTCTGTAATTCTTCCAAAGGGCATTTGTTTCTTAGATTATTAGCAACTTCGTCTTGTATGGATGACATATTTATTCTAAGAATTAAGGAGATTTGTTATCGCTAGGAAATGAGATCTTTTCATACTCCCATTGTTGACATGATTGATTTTTGCTTTTGAGGACTGGGTGCTAGGATCCAAGGTGCATTTATTGAAATAGTGGTGCACACAGGTTCGCTCTCGTGCTCAGAACGTTGTTGCAAAACATAAGGGAAGCTGTGTCTGTCTTTGCAAACGAAGGTAGTGTTGTGACTGCTTATAGTATTTAATAAGAACTAAGGTCATGCTGCTGAGATGAGGGATGCATCAGTTTAGTGCATGATAAACCGTGACTTTATCTACTGTACTGTCAATAAAGAAGATAGGCATCCCAGAAATATTATGAGTTTAATGAAGCTCACATGCAGTAAATTTCCACATTGATCTCTATACAGAGTTCATGCTTCATCACCACTCAACCTCTGCCCACCACTGCTACCCAGTATCACCAAAGACTTCACACCCTGAAGTAGAAGGAATCTAAACAGGGAGACATAGCACAAGGAAAAGTTCACTTGGGTGACCGACCGTGGTTTTGTCCATCAGCAGTGTTCAGTAACAGTACGTGCTGACTCATGCCACTTGGCCAATGGTTCTCCTAATCTGTTGGCAGTATTCCTGAATGAAGCAGTCTGACTCCCTTGCAGATTAAGGGGACCCATGGAAAGACAGGGACAGGGAAGCATCAGGAGCCTCCTATAATCTTAATTATTTCCTTCTGCTGAATGTCTGCCTTATGTGAAAAGATAGTCTGCCAATTTGGGGGAATGAGAGTTCTTTTTCCATCCTGAGTTTTTATTCTTGCTTATGTAGAGAACACTTGACCTCTTAAGTTAGCAAATTCTTAGTATTACTTTGTTTAAATAAACAAAACAAAAGAGAATATGAGCCCTGGTGACACAGTGGTTAAGAGCTCAACTACTGACCAAAAGGTTGGCAGTTGGAATCCACCAACTGCTCCTTGGAAACCCTGTCAGGCAGTTCTACTCCGTCCTATAGGGTAGCTGTGAATCGGAATCGATTCAACGGCAACAGGTTTTTTTTTTTTTTATCATGACACTTGTACAAAGCTTCCTTTACTAAACACATGACATGGTAGAATTATGAATCTGCCCTTTCACTTTAACATGGATTTACCAAAAGCGGGATTTCATTTTTAGTTTTATATTTACAACTGTAAGGTGTTATAAAATCAGTTCACTATTTGGTATTTCAAGTGGACAGGCTTCAGATATCTCTTTTTCAAAAAGCAGGCATCAAAATAGTGTCTTAGGTGTTTCTTCCCTTAGTAAATTTTATTTTTATTACTTTCCTACAAGTATTAGCATTTTTGTAACCTGAAAAGATTTTTAAAATTTTTCCAAAAACACCCATTTAGATTATTGGCAGTGTTTTTTCATTGTTTTCTAGTTTACCTTTGCTAATGGGAAAGGGGATTTTGTAGACCTCACTGAGATTTGACACCATAGTGACGTGGCCACCTGGCAGCTGACTGGGCCTGTTATGCCCGCCCCAGACTTCCCCAACCAGAGTGTCTCCATAACTGCTGATAAAACGTTTGTCTGTGGAGAGCTTTGTGAATAATTTTTCAGGCCCTGGTGTTTTTAGTTAATAGAATTACTTTTAGGTTTTCCTCGAACCCCAGTGAATTAGAGATAGTAATAAAATTTATTTCACTCTAAATTCTAAAGTTTCTTTTTGCCCAGTTCCCTCATTTTATAAATGAGGAAAGAGGCTCAGAAAAGTTCTGAGTATGGCACAAATAGTTTTTTCTCATCTTTCAGTATGTTGCCTGTGTTGGTTCCCCAGAGTTACGTAGTTTATTTCTGGGAAACTAAAGTGAACACTCATTCTGAGGCCTACAAGCATTATAGGATGCCCTCATGGCTTTGCAATTTAGGTTCAGATACTTGCCGAGTACTACCAACCTAGACGACCATGATGCAGGTCCAAAACAAGAAAATGGACATTGCCTAAACCTTTTGTTAACACTTTATGTATTACATTGGTCCCCATTAAAGGAAAGTAGAAATTAATCCAAGGATTAGATATAAGTAAGTGTTGGACATGGTGTAGAACCTTGTATACAGTTCTTGACTCTGGCAGCCACATTCTGTTGCTAGAATCTACTGGTGCATGTGCATCTACCTTGTCTTAGTTAACTAGTGCTGCTATAACAGAAATACCACAAGTAGATGGTTTTAACAAACAGAAATTTATTCTCTCACAGTCAAGGAGGGTGGAATTCCGAATTCAGGTTGCCAGCTCCAGGGATAGGCCTTTTGTCTCTGTGTGTCGACTCTGGGGGAATGTCCTTGTCATCAGTCTTCCCCTGGGTCTAGGATTTTCTCAGCACAGGGACCCCGGGTCCAAAGGACGTGCTCTGCTCCCGGCTCTTCTTTCTTGGTGGTAGTAGATCCCTCTCCTCTCTGCTCAGTTCTGTCTTTTATATCTCAAAAGAGATTGACTCAAAATACAGCCTAATCCTGTCGATTGTGTCCTGACTCATTAACGTAGCTGCCTCTAATCCTGCCTCATTAACATCATAGAGGTTAGGATTTACAGCACATAGGATAATTACATCAGATCACAAAGTGGTGGACAACCACACAATACTGGGAATCATGGCCCTAGCCAAGTTAATGCACATTTTGGGAGGACACAGTTCAGTCTGTAACATACCTCCACAGGGAAACATATGAAGCCTTTTCTGTTACGTGATCTGTGCTGGGAGTAGGCCTTAAGGAGAAGGCTAAGGCTCCCATGGTCAAATGACATCTCAGATTTTGTTCTAACAAACATGAAGGAGAGATATTAGAACTGAACAAAAGTACCGTTGTATTAATTAACATATTAAAGAAGTATTTAATAGAATTTAACCTATAATTGAGGTATATGAAATAAGTAGTTTATGTGTCAGTGGATGCTCTTGATGCCGTTATAGGACAGATTCCGAAATATATGAGGATGCAGTAGAACTTCAGCAGTTTTTTATTAAAATCCGTGATGAACTCTGCAAAAATGGAGAGATCCTTCTTTCACCAGCACTCAGCTATACCACAAAACATTTGCATAATGACGTGGAGAAAGAGAAAAAGGAAAAATTACCAAAAGAAATAGAGGAAGATAAACTAAAACGAGAAGAAGAAAAAAGAGGTTGGTTTCTTTTCATTTTATTAAATATGAAGAAATATCATACTCTGTGCTAACTGATGTCATACTTAGCTGTTTATGTTAATTACTACTCATGGTATTGACACTCACAGTAGACATGGTGAAATGGAAATGATTTTTATCATTACCAATTTGGTCATCAGGCTGGAAAAGATTGGAAGTTATATGTGACACAGCTGTTACCCTAGTACCCAGGAAAAGAGTCAATTAATTCACAAGTGTGGAAGCTTGATACTTCTTAATATTATTGGTAGGTAAAAGCCTAAGAAGCCATCTGGGGCTAAAAAATAGTGAGTGCATCAAGTTTCTGCCACATCACTCAGTAGCATGGTTTTCCTCATACACACTGTGGGCCAAACAAGTAGATGATATTTTGGTTGAACCACATTCTTAGAAAGAAAATTTTATTTTAATCATACAACCTAAAATTGTTACTTTTTGAGTGATTTGCCAAAATTTAGAAATATTTTGATAGTGGGAACTTTTATCACAAATTTGATCATTTCTGATAAAGCTCTAGTTCACATAGATACCTTGAATACTTGGTTTTCCAAAGAGTTACATTAGTCTTTAGCATCAAACTTCCTCCTTAGTTTTTTTCCCCCTTAGGCAAGAAAACAAAATAAATTGATTTGGAGTAAATTATCATAAGTGATGGCATTGCCAAAAAAAGAAGAGGAGAAAGGAACCTGGTTGGTGAAAATGGTAATTTTACCTGCATGGGGCTAGCTGCAAAAACCAACAGCTTTGCTACCAGAGGGGATGCACTTGTTCGGGATGATGAGTTTGGGATGATGATGTGTGTGCAGGGCATCCATGCCATCGCTAGCTGAAAGTAAAACCTGCAGCTTTACTAGCCCAAGGTGGCGGTCAGAGTTGAGAAAGATCCTGTAAATGAGAGAGCCATACCATACCCGTTGCTGTTGGGGTGATTCGGACTCGTAGCGACCCTATAGGACAAAGTAGACCTGCCCCATAGGGTTTCTAAGGCTGTAAATGTTTACGGAAGCAGACTGCCACATCATTCTCCCATGGAGTGCCTGGTGGGTTCAAACTGCCGACCTTTTGGTTAGCAGCCAAATGCCTAACCACTGCCTCACCAGGGCTCTTTGAGAGAGCCATAGAAGGGCTCAAATAAGCTCCTCACACATTCTTGGCTGATTGGAAAACTACGCAGGTGCAGGGAAGATGTGATAACCTGACAAAAAGCAAAATTCAAGGATATTTGAAAATTAACTGCAACTTTCAATGTGTTCCCTAACCATCACAGAGATTAATCAGCAGAGGGTGAAGCCTTGCAGGTTTGAGGTATTTGAACACAACCTTTGCTTAAATCATTGGCTGACCCCAACTATGCAGACCTAGGAACAACCCCTAGTGTCAGGTGTGCTAGATGACCTGTAATAGGAGTCCCAGCAAGAGAGGAGGGAAAGAAAGAAGAAAAAAATACATATATATGAAGATACAGTAGCTGAAAACTTCTCAAGTTTGATGAAAAACATTAACCTACAGCTCTAAGAACCCCAGGTAAGATAAACACAGAGACCCAGTTCTAGATACAGCATAATCAAACTGCTGAAAGAAAAGAGAGAGAAAATCTTTAAAGCAGCAAAATAATTCATTGCATAAAGGAAACAATAATATGATTAATGGCTGATTTCTCATAAAAAAATAATGGAGGCCAGAGGGCAGTGGAATGACATTTAGAGTGTTGAAAGAGAAAAAACTGAACCAAGACTTATACATCCAACAAAACTGTTCTTCAGAAATGAAGTCAAAATAAAGACATTCCCACATAAACAAAAACAGAGAATTTACTACTGGCAGACATGCCCTATAAGAAATATTTAAGGGAGAGCTTCAGGCTGAAGGAAAATGAAAACTGGATGGTAACTCGAATCCACAGGAAGGACTGAAGAGCACTGGAAATGATAAATATGTGGGTAAATATAAAAGACCATGTGTGTATTTTTTTTTTCTAAAAAACCGTTACTATATTTTTAAAAAACCACTATTATGTTTAAAGCAATAATTACAACACTGTATTGTTAGGTTTATAACAGTTATAGATGTAATGTTGTTGTTAGTCGTTAGGTGCTGTCGAGTCGGTTCCAACTCATAGCAACCCTATAGACAGAGTAGAACTGCCTCATAGGTTTCCAAGAAGTGCTGGTGGATTTGAACTGCCAATCTTTTCGTTAGCAGCTGAGCTCTTAACCACTATGCCTCCAGGGCTCCAGATGTAATATATGTGATAGTAATAGCACAGAAGAAGGAGGGATAGAGTTATATTGGAGCAAAGTTGCTATATTTAATGAAATTAACTCAGAATTTACCTGAAGTAGATTGTAATAAGTTAAAGATGCACATTGAAATGCCTAGAGCAACCACTTAAAAACAAATAGCAAAAATGTCAGCACAGGAGTTAAAATGATAGCATAAAAGAAAGTAGTAAAGGAAGAAAAGTGGAACATAAGAAGTACAACACAGAAAACAAGTAGTAAAATGACAGATACAAAGCCAGTTGTATCAGTAAGTACATTAAGACTGGAGGAACCCCCCCCCCCGCCCCCGATCTGTTGCCTAGAAACAGTTTTTAATACCCTGAACTGAAACTACCCCCATGAAGTCATGTTTAAACTAAATAACAGTTTAGCTCTGTAAATAATGTTTGCCTTGAGCATTGCACCCTCTTCTGTGAGATCAAAATGACAACAGTAGCTCTAAAACAAGAAGCCCTGGTAGCACTGGAGTTAAGTGCTTGGCTGCTGAGAGGTTGGTGGCTCAAACTCACCCAGTGGCTACAGGGGAGAAAGCCTGGAAAAACCTATGGGGCAGTTGTACTCTGTCACATGCGGTGGCTATGTGTTGACATAGACTTGATGGCACATAACAACAACATCTCTAAATCACAGATGAGAACTTTAAGGGGCAGAGAGTCTGAGTTAACTGTGGCGAAACAATATGGGTAGAGATAGTGAGAATGATGATGCAACGTGAAGTTTGTAACCATTGTCGGTGAACTGTACGTGTAAAAATTGTTGGATGGGTGTATATTTTCACACACACAAAAAAGCAAAACTAAAGAATAAATCTGTTTAAAATTACAAAGTATTAATTACATTTAATGTAGATAGACTAAACACTTCAATGAAAACACATAGATTATCAGATTGAATTTTAAAAGTAAGATTCAACTATATGCTGTGTACAAAAGACACATTTTAGATTCAAAGACACAAGTAGACTGACAGGAAAAGGGGGGGGAAAGATATAACATGCGAACAGTAACCATAGTGCGATGGAGTGCCTATATTAATATCAGACAAAATAAACTTTATAAGAAATAGTACTAGAGACAGAGGGCCATTTCATAATGAAAAAAGGGTCAAGACATAAGGAAGATATAATATTTATAAACGTGTGTATGCACCTAACAACAAGGCCCCAAAATATATAAGAAAAAATTGATGGAACTGAGAGGAGAAATAGTTTAACAATTATAATCTCAATACTTCTTTTTCAGAAATTGATAGAACAACTAGACTAAAAATACGTAAAGATATAGAAGACTTAAGTGGCGTTATCAACCAGCTTGACCTAACTGACCTGTGTAGACCATTACACCCAGTGACTGGAGAATACAAGTGCACATGGAACATTATCTAGAATAGTCTATATGCTAAATCATACAACAAGTTTCAAAAAATTTTAAAAGGATTGAAATAATACCAAGTTTATTCTCTGACTGCAATGAAATTAGATTAGAAATTAACAACAGAAAGAAATCTGGAAAACTTTCAGATATTTGGAAATTAAACAACACTTCCAAATAACCCATAGATCAAAGAAGATATCACAAGGGCAGTTAGAAAAATCTTGAACTGAATGAAAGTGGAAATATATCAAAATTTATAGGATACAGCTTAAGCAGTTCTTAGCGGGAAATTCATAGCTTTAAACACATATATTACAAATAACCAGTAAAACCCAGTTGTCATCGAGTTAATTTCGATTCATGGCGACCCCATGTGTGTCAGAGTAGAAATGTGCCCCATAGGGTTTGTAATGGCTGGTGTTTTGGAAGTAGATCTTCAGACCTTTATTCCAAGGCACCTCTGAGTCGACTTAAACCTCCAACTTTCCAGTCAGCAGCCAGGCATGCTAACCATTTGCACCACCCAGGGACTGACCGGAAACAAAGAATGATCTAAAATCAGTAATCTAAACTTACACCTCAAGAAGTTAGAAAAAGAAGAGTAAATCAAATCTAGAGTAAATAGAAGGGAGGAAATAATAAAAATCAGAGGCGAAATCAGTGAAAGAGAAAACAAAATGCCAATGCTGTGGTGAATATGATTTGAGACCGTCCAAGAGTTTCTTGCCGCTATTACTTAGATTTTTTTGTTGCTGTTGTTTAAGTTTAGTTGACATGGTTCCTGGCAATGCACAGTTAGTGACAGCCACTCCTTGAGTTACTCTAAGGTAGTTTTCAAAGTGTGCTCTGTCAGCAAGCTACATCAGTATCTCCTGAAAATTTGTTAGAAATGCTAATTCTCTGATTTCACTCCATGCCTGCCAATTCAGAAACTCTGGGGATGAGGTCACCTCCAGGTGATTCTGTTGCACAGTTAAGTGTGAACAACTGCTCTAGGGTCTTAAATTTAATGCATGAAGGAGCAGGAAGCACCTGCCTTTTCTCATAGTCGTTTAGCAATGGTATGTGAACCCATTATCTGTTCTGGTAGTGCATTCTAAAGAAAAGACAGCAATGACATTTTAAAGACTATTAACCACTACCCTTGATTGATCCTTACTACCAGAAAATATTTCCACTGACTTAATCTCAGGAGAAATTCTGTGATAGAAAAGCGGGGCCACGTAAAGAAAAAGACAGTAGGAAATTTCTGTTCCTCTCCCGTCACTATGTACCTATCTCATGAGCCTGGGACCTTTGCTGACTAGAGGGAAGGAAACCTTGCTGCATAGAGCTGCTTTTTTAGGCTGCCAGAACTTTTCGGTATCTCTTTTCTTACACTAACTCAAAAACTACATTTCCCAGCAATGCATTGTGATTGGGTGGTGGAATTAGGTAAGAAATGGTCCTTTGCCATAAGGATGTGAAGCCTGCAACAGGATAGACTGAGTAGAAAGGGCGATAAAAGCAGTGTGATCTGGGATTATTTTAACTGGTTTTTTTCTAGCCATGAAAGAACTACAGTCTGTTCCAAACCTTCCTGTGTCAGTGTACCTTATGAATTAAAGGACAACAAATTATCAGAAAGTTGGGTAGCAGTTGTGTATGTCAGTCAGACAAATTGTGTATGTCAGTCTGTCTTTAAGCCCTAAGAGGTGGTTTCTAACAACCACCAAATGGAAGTTGAAGGAAACTAGAACATTTCACACACCCTGTTTTTTTAATTAAATAATAGAACTTCTTATTCAAAGTTACACAGCAAGGATAAAACAACATAGGGGATTTTCAGCTAAACATGGCAGATTGTACACAAATGCTTTCTGTTACTCCTTCCCAGAACACCTCTAAAATAATGGAAAGACCATTTAGAAACAAAAGGCATAAACACAAGCATAATCTTTTCCTCAAAAGGGGAAAAAAAGGAAGAGGAGATAATGGCAATTAGAATTGGAAGCTAGAAAGTAGATAAGTTGCTAACACTGACTTCAATGCCAGCAGTTGATGAAGACCTTAAAACAGGCCAATTCCTGCCTCAGAATGGTGCAGGGATTAGGACATCAGGTATTTCTGAAAACAGGGATGCAGGTAGAGCCAAAATAGGAGGACTAGTTCTAAATTAAAAGCAGTTGAATCTCAAATCACCTTCCCAACCCTGCCTGTTACTATTCCTCCTAAAGAGTCTAGACTCGGGGACACCAGGCAAACCTAAGGGTGAAGGTACAGTGATGAAAGGGGTATTAAGCAAAAGGATTTATACTAAACAGACCCCTGTTCCTCTACCTAACTAGCTTGTAGAGTCCTTGGCAGCCAGGCTAATAGCACTCAGGCAGATTTTCTCTTGAAAAATGAGCCAGGCAATGAGAAAACAAAGTTAATAACATCTGGAGGTCCTCGGTGAAACCCATCAGTCATCCAGCTCTGTTTCTACACACAGAGAACTTCTAATCAGCTTTTGAGCACCTCTTAAATAGGAGCATGTAACTAAGAATGAACAAATATTTAAGGAAAGTCTCTAAAATGGAACATGAAGAGCAAAATAAGAAGGACCTTGGAGGAAACAAACAGTGAAGGCAGCATGAGAAAACCTAAAAAAAAGAATGTACGTCTTCAGAAAGATAACAAGATGCTGTTTCTGTAAAACAAGAACAGGAGTCTGTTAAAAAAATGAACATTCACAGAACAAAAAGTTTCTTGGAAATTAAAAATGTGATAGCAGAAAGGAAACATTCAGGGAAAGGATTAGAAAATAAAGCAATCAGTGTAGGAGGCCCAGAATCCGAATAGCTGGCATTCTAGAAAAAGCAGGACAGGACATTACCAAAAAAAAAACGATCAGAAAACTTCCCAGAATTGAACAACATGATTTTGCAGATTGAGGAAGCTTAACTCAATGGTTTAAAAAAACTCATACCTAGGAATATCATCACTAAAGTTTTAAAATAATGGGGACAAAGAGAATATCTTAAAAGCTTTTGGGGGTGTTGGGGGCAGGTAATTCACAAAGCAACACTGAAGGTAGAAGACAACGGAGCCATGCACAAAATTCTAAAGGGGAAACAGCTCCCAACTTAGAATTCTATACCCAGCCAAACTATCTATAAAGTACAAGGGTAGAATAAAGACATTTTCAGCTATGCGAAGACCTTAAAAAGTTATCTTTCATACAGCTTTCTTAGCTGCTAAAGGGTATTCTCCACCAAATGAGGTAGTAAGCAAAGAAAAAACAAGGAAGATGAAAGAAACAGGTTTCATCACAGGAGAAAACCAAAGGGAATTACCAAAATGACAGTAAAGGGAAATTCTAGAGTTGCAGCCAAATTACCAGACATAGAAGACATTGCGTTCAGATTAGAGCAGGAAGTCAGCTAATGGAAGTATGTCTCCAATAGAAGAACAAAATTGATGGATTACTTGACATTTTTGGATATAACAAGAGGAGAGTTGTACTTCTGCAGAGCTTAGCATTGAATTAGTAACCTGTACTCACTTAGTCAGGAGCCCTGGGGGCTCAACGGTTAAGTTTTTGGTTAGCGCTTCAAACTCGCCCAGTGGCTTTTCGTGAGAAAGACCTTGCAATCTGCTCCCGTAAAGAAAACCCATGAGGTAGTTCTGCTGTGTCACATGGTGTTGCTATGAGTCTAAATCACTCGACAGCACCTAACAACCACAGCAACTCACTTAGTCTGTTGTAACAATCTCCTAAATGGTCTTGCATTTTACTTTACAAGAAGAAACCAAGCCTCACCTTCAACACTTAGCTTAGAAATCTTCCCAACTAAATATCCAGTTTCATGGTTTACAAGTTTTGGTTTCCCCATAACTGCAGCTTTCTGCTGCTATACTTTTTAATAATATATTCGTTTTTTCCTTCTGAGCCCTCAACTACTGAAAATCCATTTTTCTACCCCACAATCTATTCAATCTAGGCTTTTTCTATCAGGTTCCTCAAAATTCTAACAGTGTTCACCCACTGTCACTTCCACGTTTTTAGGTGTTTGTTTCAGCATCACCCCTCCACCAGGTACCAAAATTTCATCTGAATACCATCAGCTCAGAAGTCCCAAATTTCATTATCTGAATCATCTAAATTAGGTATGGATGAGGCCCAATTCTTCTCCATCTATGGGCCTATAAAATTAAAGAAGTTCTCCGCTCCTAAAATACAATGATGGGATATGCATAACAATTATAGACATTCCTGTTTAAAAAGGGAGAAATGGAAGGGAAATAGGAGCCACCAGTTCCAAGCAGTTTTGAAATCCATCTGGGCAAACTCCATTAGGTTTCAAGGCCTGAGAATAATCCTCTGCAGCTCAGCACTTGGCCTCTGAATCATCCTTCCTCATAAAAGGCAGCACATGTTTGTAGCTGAGTTTTATCAGCCTGTTTCCTGCCTCTAGGATTTTGGGAGTTTGACAGCTCCCTTTCATTTTGTACTATCTTTGTCCCTTTCGGTCCAGCTAGCAGTGTTTCTGCTGTAATAAAATTCTCAAGAACCTTGTGAGTCTATCACAGATGTCATGGGGACTCACTTAGTCATTGATTAGATAACATTTTTCATGAAAATTGGCAAAACTTTAAAACAATTATAATGCCAGTGTTAGAGAGGGAATAGAGAAACAGACCCTTTGTAGCCAAACAGTGAGGGACTGAAATTGGTATAGCCTTTTGGAAGGCAATTTGGAATATGCGTTTTTAAAAAAATTTTAAATGCTTAATCCCAGCAGTTTTACTTCTGGGAAATTGTCCTCAGGAAGTAATCAAAGATGTGGCAGACATTTGTCATCCACAAAACCTATGGTATTTTCAAATGATGGACTGTACTGGAACCATTGAAAAGCATTTAATCCCAGGGGAAATGTTCATGCAATATTAAGTACTTAAATAGTTCACAGCATATGATATGATACACATATTTCATATTTCCTCAGTCCTGTCATTCCGTTAATCATGATGTATCCATGTAAAAAATGTTAGGAAAAGCAATTTCAGAAGCATTAAGATGGAGGGGAAGTGCATCAGAGGTTATCTCTAGTGCTACAAGTGACTTATTTTTTTCTTTATGTCTTTCTGTATTATCCAGAATTATTACATTGAGCATATATTACTAAGGTGATTATTTTTATTCTACAGATCCTTTGTTTATATATTTCTTTACATATTTATTTATTTAGATCAATGGTTGTTAGTTGCCGTTGAGTTGATTACAACTCATGGCAACCTCATGGGTTACAGAGCAGAATTGCTGCATAGGGTTTTCTTGCCTGTAATGTTAACAGAAGCAGATCACCAGGCCTTTTCCATGTTACCGCTGGGTGGGTTCAAACTACCCAGGTTAGCAGTCGAGCGCAAACCATTTGCCCACCTAGGGAACTTAGGTCAATAGTACCAAAGGAAAAAACCAAACCGTTGTTGTTGAATCGATTCCAATTCATAGCAACCCTGTGAAGCTGTAAATCTTTACAGAAGCAGACTGCCCCATCTTTCTCTCTCGGAGCAACTGGTGGGTTCGAACCGCTGACCTTTCAGTTAGCAGCTGAGTACTTTAACCACTGTGCCATCGGGGCTCCTCAGATCAATGGTAGTCCGTTGTAATTCAGAAAAGGCAATTTTAGATAAGGGTTATTGAGAATGTGAAGATCATACTATTTTTTCTGAGTTTTTCCTTTGAATGTCAGAAAAATAATTAAATACATTTGTATGTGTTGTTTGAACCTTACATCTGATTCTAACATCCTTTTAATGAGCACCTTTTTATTTTGTTTACCTAAGAAGCTGAAAAGAGTGAAGATTCCTCAGGTGCTGCAGGCCTCTCAGGCTTACATCGCACATATAGCCAGGACTGCAGCTTTAAGAACAGCATGTACCACGTTGGGGATTACGTCTATGTGGAACCTGCGGAGGCCAACCTACAGCCACATATCGTCTGTATTGAGCGACTATGGGAAGATTCTGCCGGTAAGTTTGCCTCTAAATCAAAGGGCAGAGTGGTGAGATGTGACAGTTTTATTCCCCTTGGTCCTCAGGAAAGAAAGTTTTAATGCAGGCATTTTATTCCTTCCAACAGTAGTTGTTCTACAGTGAATCAGTAACTATAATTAAGCATCCACCCTATGAAAAACATAGGATTTAGAACTGTTGGGCAGTGAAACAGTTGAGTCAGAAGAAATGCATTCAGCTGATATTAAGCACACACTATGAACCATGCTGTATGTAGGATGACAGATTCGGAACAACAAAAGGCACATATTTTGTCCCTGGCCCACCAGTCTGCTAAAGGAGGTTACAAATGAAAAAAAAATTAAGAGGAGCATATGCGTTGGCTTAGAATTTGATTTTGGAAAGGCTTCCTAGAGCAACTGGCTTTTAAGTTGAGACATGGAGAACGAGTAGGCACTAATGAAGCCAGAGCAGGAGGAAATGGGATCCAGCAATTTAGTTCTTTCAGGTGGCTGTCTTAGTTATCTAGTGCTGCTATAATAGAAATACCACAAGTGGATGGCCTTAAAGAGAAATCTATTCTCTCACAGTCTAGGAGGCTACAAGTCCAAATTCAGGGTGCCAGCTCCAGGGGAAGGTTTTCTCTCTCTGTCAGCTTTGGAGAAAGGTTCTTATCATCACTCTTCCCCTGGTCTAGGAGCTTCTCATTGCAGGGACCCTGAGTCCAAACGACACGCTTTGTTCCTGGCACTACTTTATTGGTGGTATGAGATCCCCCTGTCTCTCTGCTTGCTTCTCTCTTTTATGTATCAAAAGAGATTGACTTAAGACACAATACAATCTTATAGATTGAGTCCTGCCTCATTAACATAACTGCTGTTAATCCCACATCATCAACATCATAGAGATGGGATTTACAACACACAGGAAAATCACATCAGATGACAAAATGGAGGACAATCATACAATACTGGGAATCATGGCCTAGCCAAGTTGACAGACATTTTGGGGGGACATAATTCAGTCCATGACCGTGGCCATCATGTGAATTAGTTTTGGACTTTACCAGAGGGTTAAATATGTTCTTTAGTGTGTCTGTGTTCTTCCTCTGAAGCACACTGCTTTAGGCGTGTCCTGACTAGAGCAGAGCACAGCAAGTCTCATCACCCTCCTCATACTTTTAGCATGAGGGGGAAAGTAGTGTTTTTAGCCCTTGTTGTGCTTTATTATTTTGAAGTATTATTTCTTCTAAAATAATTAAACTAAGGAACTATGGCCAAAAAAGCACATTGTTAGGTTCAGGCCATGGCATATTGACTTGATGAAATGTTTGCATGTCTTGAAAAGAATGTATGCTTTCTGTTAATGGTGATGTTGTTCATTCTCCTCCCCGCCTCCTCTCTGTCTCTTTAAGGTGAAAAATGGTTGTATGGCTGTTGGTTTTATCGGCCAAACGAAACTTTCCACCTGGCTACACGAAAATTTCTAGAGAAAGAAGTTTTTAAGAGTGATTATTACAATAAAGTTCCTGTTAGTAAAATTCTAGGCAAATGCGTGGTCATGTTTGTCAAGGTAAGAAATTTATCACTCCCAAAAGTATCACTCATTCCCGAGGAGTAAAATTCAGGAACACAAATACCGATGTTTACAAAATTAGGAACTCTGTTCTAAATTCTAGTTGATTTTTTTTTTTAAGCCGTGTCTATATAGGTGTCTGTAAAGATGTGGGAGAAGATGAACTTGAACATGATGGTGAAAGACTATTTGCTATTAACTTACAGTTTCTTATATTGCCAATCTAATTTTTGAGAATGCTATTTTCTGAAAGATAAACATAAATTGTCAGGTTGTTTTTGAGGTAATAAGGTATACTTTTTGTATATCTGATAAGGTGCATGAGCCCTGCCCAAAGCTTTCAGGAACATTACAGCTGTGTGAAATATTAATATATTTTCAAAGGGGCACTTGGTAAGCTAAATGGAACTATTCATGTTTATGAGCTAAAGTACGTGTATTTAATAAGGACATTCTATAGCCAGGAATAATCCTAGATGTCTAGCCATTTACCACTTGTTCTTAGCCACTAGAAAGTCTTAACAATTAAGTTTCTGTTTGGCTGGTTGGTTGGTGTTTACTTTTGGTTTTTGGTTGATTGACTTGCAGAAAATCCATGTAACTAAGTAATATTAATTTTGTTCTTATGCCCCCCAGGAATACTTTAAATTATGCCCAGAAAACTTTCGAGATGAGGATGTTTTTGTCTGTGAATCACGATATTCTGCCAAAACCAAGTCTTTTAAGAAAATTAAACTGTGGACCATGCCCATCAGTTCAGTTAGATTCGTCCCTCGGGATGTGCCCCTGCCTGTGGTCCGAGTGGCCTCTGTATTTGCAAATACAGACAAAGGGGATGATGAGAAGAACACAGACAACTCAGAGGACAGTCGAGCTGAAGACAGTTTTAACTTGGAAAAGGTATGTAGACAGTAGCCACACAGAAAAGAATGTTACATCTCAAAATATCTATTCCAGAAAGTAAATGAATAAATTATTCAAATTCAAAATTAGAAAAAGCAACAGTATAAAACCTTAGCCAAACTGGAAATAGAAACTATAAAGGAAAGAAATTACAGAATTGAAACATAGAACATGAAAGTAAATCTAAGCTTATTCTTTGACAAGTCCAATGAGATGGCTAAACTACCAACTGTCTTAATAAGGGGACTAAAGGGAGTTCAACTTAAACACAAAGTATGGAAGAAATTTAAAAACTTGTACATTTCTGTTAATAAATTTGAAAACCTGAATAAAATGAACAGTTTTCTAGGACAATACAAATTACCAAAATGGAATTAAGAAGAGAGATAACACCTAAATAGACAGCAACCATGAAGAAATTGAAAAAGATGTCTAAGAGCTAATTCCAAAGAATACTGAGGTCAGGTAGTATCGTAGATGAATTCTTTTAACTCTTTAACGGACCTGTAATTATGATGTTTAAACTGTTTCGGAGGATGGAGAACCAAGAAAACTTCCCAGTTCAGTTTACAAAGCCAGAATAATCCTGATCCCAAAACCTGACAAATTAAAATAAAAAACTTCAGTTCATTCTCACTTACGTATATTGATGTAAACATTACTCGGAAAAAAATATGTTTGTAAGTGAAATCAAAGTAGTTCTTTATGAACAGCCTGACTAAGGAGAGGGGTGTTTATTCTAGGAATGCAGAGATTGTTCAGAATTAAAAAATCTACTAATACGTTTTATTATATTAATAGATCAAAGGAGAGATTACGTGGTAAAGTACCGTACCTGTCTTGATTATTTTAAGTCTTTAGATGGATATTTATCAGTGTTATTTCCTAAAATTATATTTGTATCTCAAGCTTAAAGCCTATCAGACACATTCCCTTTAAAGTTATGTGCAGAGCAGAGGTGCTTGCTGTATCACCGTTACCTAATATTTTTCTGAAAGTGATAGCCAGTGCAGTTAGACAAACTAAAATAATCAAATACTGGGGGAGGGGGGAACTAACTGAGAAGTTTTTGGAGACAGAGTTCAGCAAGTCTAAATTTCAAAATTCATATGCAAGTCAATAGTTTTCTTATATAAACACAACAATTTATAAGACTTCTGAAATTAAAATGAAAGTGTGACTACGCTTCAGCAACAGTTAGAAAAACCTTATGGAAGAAAATATCCAATTCACATTAGCAACAAAATACATTAATAAATAACTTTAACAAGGAATATCTAGAACCTGTAGGAAGAAGACAAACCAGTTTACTGAAAGACATAAAAGACTTGAATAAATTATTTTTAGAACTTGACAGAATTATTCTAGCGTTCTTAGGAAAGAAAGATGTGACCGTAACAAAAGAGAATTTAAAAAGTAATGAAGAGAGCCTTGTCCTGCCAGATATTGTTACGTTTTATAATACTGCATTTTAAAAAAACACTGAGATACTGGCGAAGGAAAGAATAGGCTTTTCATGATTAAGTCCAAAAATAAATGGCTAATGAATATGTGATAAACGTAGTACTTTAAATCATCAGGGTGATAAAGAAATCTAATGGTCCTGGAAGACTGGCTAGCTATTTGGAAAAAAAATAAAAGCAAACGTGGACTCTCACTCCGTATTCCAAAATAAATAAGATGTAAACATAAGTAAATGAAACAGTAAGAGTACTAGTTTGTAGCATAAGTACATTTGGCACGTGTAATCTTTTTATACATATATATAACCTTTTCATGTATAAGCTTGCAATGAGGGAGCTTTTTCTGTGCATGATGCAAAACCCACTAGCCATAAAAGAAAAAAAATGATCATTTTGTTAATTTACAATTAAAAATATCATCAATTAGGTTAATAAAACAGTCTAAGGACTACTGGAGCCCTGGTGGCATAGTGGTTAAGAGCTCGGCTGTTAACCAAACGGTCAGCAGTTGGAATCCACCAGCTGCTCCTTGGAAACCCTGGGGGGCAGTTCTTCCCTGTCCTGTAGAGGTGCTGTGAGTCAGAATCAACTTGACAGCAGTGGCTTTGTTTTTTTATATATAATAATATGGAAATTTTTCCAGGATATGTGGCTAAAAAGATAAACTAATAATTAACAGGTTTCAGAGTAGTATGTGACCCCATCATTAATCAAAAAGAAAAAAAAGTATATTTACATATATGAATAGGAAAGCAATATAGAAGAACATAGACTACACCTGGTAGGCATCTCTGAGGATTAGATCACAGAAGACTTCCGTTTTTTTTAAGTTTTACATGTTCTAATGTTTGAACTATTTCCTACAAATATATTGCTCTTATATAAACAAGAAAGGTAAATTTATTAAATTGTTGATGTAAAATTGGAAAAAATTTGAATGGTTAATATCTGAGAAAAAAAATACCCATTTCAGTGTCCTTAACAGTGTTGTAAGAGAAAGGGAACTTGGGAAAAAACGTGATGTTTTCGTACATTTTACCAGTATGTCCAGGAATCAGAGAAATACTAGTTTGGATGGAAGAAGAAATATTATAGAAGCTAACATGGGAATTAACTTGGAGTTGTCATCTAGTGTTCATAAGCCCCCAGGGTCCTTTTTCTGTGTTTACTTGTTGTTCGTCTCACATCTCTATTTATTTAAATATTACATGACCAAGTCAAGTCATTCCAGGAATCTTTTTAAAGAATAACTTTAGAACAGAACCCATTCCTAAAAGAAAAAATTGTTACTGATCTCAGGGGTTATTTTATTTAGCTTATGTTCCTTCATGTGCCCCTCAGCCAGCATATATGTAGGACCACTCTCATTCTTAAAAGATTTTCCATAAAGACCATTTCAAGATCACATTTGAAATCATAAAGATCAGAACATTAAAAAAATCATTTGGACATTCTAAAACAGATTTTTTTTTAAGTTTGAAATACTCTCAGACAGACAGGAAGATGCAGTAGTAAATTTAGGGCTCTGTAATTTCTTCAGCTCTTATACGTTTTGGAGTTAATATATATAGAATATTTAGCCCTGTGCCCATTATCTGCTAAACCCATTGCTGTTGAGTTGATTCTGACTCATAGTGACCCTATAGGACAAAGTGGAACTGCCCCATAGGGTTTCCAAGGAGCAACTGGTGGGTTCAAACTGCCGACCTTCTGGTCAGCAGCCTTAGCTCTTAACCACTGCACCACCAGGGCTCCATTATCTGCTAGGTGCCCAGTAAATGATGATTCTTATTTTTGTTAGTCAGAATTTTCTTCTGTCTCTCTCTCCCTTTCTCTGTTTCTTTTTTTGCCAAGATTATGAAGCAACAGCGATAACAATAAATGTTGACTAGGTGATTTTTATGAGTCAAGCATTGTTCTATGTACTTAACATAGTGTCATTTAAGCTTCATAACAGCCCCATCTGGGCATGCCATCGTTATCTTCATTTAACAGATAATGAAACTAAGGCACGCAAGGTCAGTTAATTTGCCCAGTGTCACAGCAGCCAGTAGGTGACAGACCCTGTAATTTATTCAGAAACAAAGGATGTGTGTTTATGTCACAGAGGCTGTGCAACTCCTGTCTATGTTGGAATAAATCAAAATAGTAAAAATTTTAGATCAGTTGTTAATGTTAAGAAATTAGGGAGCTCAATGTATGTGTTAAAGAGGAAGCTTGTGTAGAGTTCTCTCCTTGTACTCTTTAATAACGCATGAGTGAATCTGCTTCTGAACGCTACGTCCTCTCCAGTTTTTGTTTTGTTTTGTTTTTTTTTTGGCTGAAAATTTATGAGAATGGGGGAGAAGGGAATAAAAGCATCTTCTGGTATTATTATTTTATGAAAACTGACTAGAAATTTAAAATAGATACAATATATCGTAAGATTTTGTTTGATTTCAAGAGTCTAATCTGTTGGTCTCCTACCTTAATCACAACTTATATTTATGGTTTTGTTTTGTTTTTTTTCTTGAAGTTAATGTGAAGGAAAGTCTGCTTTCCTTTCTTACCTTCTTTGTTTATTGCTTGATTGTCAGCTGCCTTTCTTCAACCAGTTTCCGTTACTACAGGAGAAAGAAGATGTCCCTGTAGAAATGTCCAATGGTGAACCAGGTTGCCACTACTTTGAGCAGCTCCGTTACAACGACATGTGGCTGAAGGTTGGTGACTGTGTCTTTATCAAGTCCCATGGCCTGGTGCGCCCTCGCGTGGGCAGGTGAGTGTCATTGAAGTAGGGAGAATTTGAGATTGGGTCCCAGAACTTTGGAGCCAGTAGAAATTTATCACTCCTAGATGAAGAACAAAAGCCCTTCCCTTGGCAACTTTTCCAGCTTCCTCTCACACCACACCTGCCCTGCTTTCACCTTCAGCCATACTTCCTTTTTTTAATTCCTCTCATGAGCTTTTTTTTTTTCTTCCTCTCTTGCCGTTTACTGAACTCTGAGCTCAGAAGGCTCCCTGCTCACTTGGTGAGCTTCTTTAGCTTAAATCTGAAATGACACTTCCTTAAGGAAATTGTCTTCCCTGTCCCCTCCATACTGGGTCAGGTCTCCCTGTTACACACTTTCAGAGCATCGTGGATTTTCTTCCTCTCAGCACACATGTCACATATTGGTGTTTATTAGGTTATTGTCAGGATTCCATACCAGGCTGCGAGTGCTCTGAGAGTAGGGACCCTCTCTTTTGTCCACCTTTGTGTCCCCTGCTCCTCACATAGTGCATGAAACATAGTAGGGGGCTCAGATATTTGATGGACAAGTGAATGGATAAATGGATGGAAGTGTGGTTGGGTGGTATAAAACAGCAGAAAAAAGAGTCAGGTGCTGGTTTGGGCAGTAGAGTAGTGGTTTAGAATTTGTGGTGATTCCAAGAGATCTTGATGTAAGTCCCAGCTCTGCTAGTTTGCATGTCCTTAGGTAAATGATAACCTCTCTGAGCTTCAGTTTCCTGATTTTTCATCATTTCAGTAAGCATTTATTATGTATCTACTATCTACCAAGCCCTGGGGATACATCAGTAAGTAAAGCAGACATACATCCCCTAGCCTCATGGAGCCTTGATCTAGTGGGAAGACAAACAATAAACACTGTGAGTAAGTAAACCATATAGTATATTAGAACATGATAGGGGCTATGGAAAAAATAAAGAGCAGGGTAAAGGCGATCAGGAGTGCCATGGGTGGAGCAGGAAGGTGCAGAACTTTAACAAGGTGGTCTGTGTAGGCCTCACTGAGAAGCTGACAGTTGAGACAACACTTGAAGAAACTGAGGGGGTGAGTTATGTGAATATCCAGGGACAAAGCCTTCCAGGCGGAGGGAAGAGCCAGTGTAAAGGCCTGAGAAAGGAGCCTGCCTGACCTGTTCAGACTAGCAGAGGCAACTAGCATTACTAGGTGTAAAAATGGTGTGGCGGAGGCATCTGACTTCCTCTAACTTCAGAAGGAGAGGAGGAGAATCAAGATCAACAGCCCAGGGCTGATTCCTAGAAGGCAGCGGTCAGACATACCTCCTCTCGCCAGCCCTTTTTACCAGTTCTGACACCCTCTGTCCCTCCCATAGTATTCTTTACTTCTCTGCTGCGTTCAAGAATTTGTTGAAATGGCCACACAAGTCTCACAGAAAATACTCAACAATTATGGGGTTTATTAGGGAAGTAACAGGTTACAATTCAGGTTCAGGAATGCTCAGGATGCAGCCCTTCGATCAGGACAGCCTCTTCTCAGCCATGCCCGCAGGCAGGTCTCTCCCTGGCCGTTGGCCCTTCTGCCTGCCCTCTACTCTGCTTGGGCAAGTGTTACAAAGCTCTTTTAGCTCTGCTGGTAAGTGCCCAGAGGCACCCCACTCTGCCGGTAAGCCTTGGGCCGGAGGTGCTTAGCTCTAGCTCCATGGGTCAGCAAACCTAGCTCCACCAAGTGCCCGGAGGCAGCCTACTTTGCCAACAAGCCTCTGTGTGAAGGTGCTCAGCTTACTTGCTCTGTGGACCAGGAAGCCCACAGCACCATCTCCTGCTGGTCTGGTCCTGCTAGTACCGTTTCTCTGCTACTGCTTCTCACCATCTCTGGTGTTACAGCTCTCTCCCTCTTTCTCTCTCATCTGTGTTACAACTCCTTGTCTCTGTCTCAGTGTCTCCCTAGCAGGATGGCAAAACTGACCAATCCCCTCATTAGGGTTCCGTACACCTTATTTGCATAGTCCCTTGGTGGGAGTTACAAAGATTATGGCTAGAAGGACCATATTAAGTAATTCACTGCTCCTCCCTAGGTTAGTAAAAAATGCATGAGTTAGGCAGAAGGTAAGGTCAGAAAGACAGCAGGGCCAGGAGCTATGCTACAGATCATGTAGGGCCTCAGAGGCCATTGTAGGAGGGACTTGGGCTTTGCTGAGTTAAATGAATTGCCATTGGATTGTTTTGAGCACATAAGTGACATCTGACTTACATCTTAATAGAATCTCTCGGCCTGGTGGTGGTTGAGAATAGATGTAAAGAGGGTAGAAGCACGGAGATGTACTAGGAAGCTATTGTAATAATCGAGGCAAGAATGATGGTGGCTCAGACCAGGGTGATTGCAAAGGAGGTGGTGAGAAGTAGTCAGATTTTCTTTTGTCCATGTATCTTCTTATGTACTTAAATGGGGGAAAAAAGTCAAGGAAATTGGCTTATTATCAAAACAGCCAATGAAACTCCTCTAAATGGTACATATCATGAAGTTTTAGTTAAAGGAATTCTTCTTCATTAATCCTTCAAGAATGAAAACTGTCAGAATTCTGTTTTAATGGGATTTATTTTTCCCCTCAAGAATTGAAAAGGTATGGGTCCGAGATGGAGCTGCATATTTTTATGGCCCAATCTTCATTCACCCAGAAGAAACAGAGCATGAGCCCACAAAAATGTTCTACAAGAAAGAAGTGTTTCTGAGTAATCTGGAAGAAACCTGCCCCATGACATGTATTCTGGGTAGGTATTTATGTCTTTCTTTTGATCACTGTGATGGTTAAGGTTGTGTGTCAGCTTGGCTGGGCCATGATTCTCAGTGGTTTGGCAGTTATGATGTAGTTTGGCAGTTATGTAATTACCTCCATGATGAGGTCTGCTATGAGCAGCCAGATAATCCTCGAGGGTGTGGCCTGCATCCAATATGTATAGATGTTCTGGCAAAGATCACTGGCTTTAGCTCACTCTGGATCCTGCATCCAGCTCATCAGCATCTGACTTGCGGTTCTTGGAACTGAGGCAAGGTCCTGCCGTATTACCTGCTGATCTTGGGATTCGTTGGCCTCTGCAGCCTGTGAGCCAGTAGCCTTCCATCTTACCTGCTGATCTTAGATTCATCAGCCTCCCTAGCCCGTGAGCCAGCGGCCTGCTGTCTCACCTGCCAGTCTTGGGTTTGTCAGCTCCTGCAGCTGTGTGAGTCAGGAGGAGCCTCTGGCCTGACTTGTGATCCACAGATGTGGGACTTATCAGCCTCTACAGTCATGTGAGCCATTTCCTTGATATAAATCTCTCTCTCTTTCGGTTTCTCTCTCTCTCTATGTGCGTGTGTGTGTATATATGTATATATGTATATATATCTATGGCATGAGGTGGCAGTAGAAATACTCAAAATATCACCACCGATAATCAAGTAGTGGTGAGAGGCGAGGCTCTGGGTGAGCGCATGTTTGATACTTTTCTACAATTTTGTCAGAATGAGAAGTATAAGGAAGCTAGTTGATTGGTCCTACTTTCGCTAGACAAAGTGGATGTATGTCGCAGCAGTGGCGAATGTCGGGGCGGCGGAGACAGTAACCAAACACAACTCTTACAGAGAAGTGGGGCCAGGAGGGTCACTCTGAGGAGTTGACCCGGGCTTCAGTCCCAGGAGTTTATTTATAGTCAGTACAGCAAGCAGTGAAGCAAATAACAGAATAATGGGCTTTGGGTGCAGGCAAGGGAGAAGGAATTCAGGCAAACAAGCCAATCACTAAAGGGACAATAGGTTTGGGAAAACAAGTCGTGACAAGTCTCAACACGTTGGGGACAAGTCTCAACATGCTGTGCAGCATAGAGGCCTGTGGGGGCTGCAGTTGTCAATAGTGCAGCCATGTTTAAATGACATATATCCCCACAGATATAGAAAGAGATGAGCTCAGGGCTTCAGAGTCAAAACTCAGGTGCCACATAAATGACCTCAAAGTTGCCACTTGTACCCTGAAAGAAAGCCCTGTTTCTTGTAGTGACAGCTCATATTGCAAAACCAAACCCAGAGTCTTCTCATAAGAGTGGTAGAATTACAACACCAAGTGAATTCCCAACCTCAAGTGATGTCTGAAGTTAAAGTGAGGGCATTGATTGGGAGGAAATGGGTTGCTCAAACTTGAGATGGGGACATATGGGCAGATAATCAGGAAGCTGAGGACACAGAATCCCTAAATTCTATTGAATTGCTCCTACCAATGAAACCATTAGCCTCTCCACCCTCATCTGATGAGATTAACGCAGCTGTGTCTAAAGAGCCTTTCTCTGAGATATCGCCTGGGGCATCACCTGAGTCAGATGCCTTATGAGATATTGCTGAATGTTGTCAGAACGCATCACCACCACCAATTTTTGTTTCTACGCCTATAACTAGACTTAAGTCCTAGCAAGCCCTAAAAGGTCAAGTACAAAGTGTGACCTAGGAGAACGTACAGTACACACCAAAAGAACTGCTTGACTTTTCTAATATATACCAACAGAAACCTGGGAAATATGTGTGGGAATGGCTAGTAAGGGTGGAGATGGTGGTGCAAGGAACATAAAGTTGGATCAGTCTGAGTTTATTGATATGGGCGAACTAAGCACAGATTCTTCATTCATTGTTTCAACTTGAGAGATTAAGAAAGGATCTGATAGTTTATTTGATTGGTTCACTGAAGCATGGATTATGCAGTGGCATACAGTAAATCAAGTTGAATTACCAGACCTGCCTTACTATACTGTGGAAGACAGTATCCAAAGCCTTAAGGAAATTGGCATCTTAGGATGGATTTATCAGTTTAGACCCACAGACTCATACGTGGAGTGCCCGGAGGACACACCTTTTACCTCAACAGTGGGGAACAAATTTGTGAAGGGAGCCCCAGCATCCTTGAAGACTGCTATGATTGCTGTTTATGTGAGTTAGATTTGACAGTGGTAACTGCCCTAACTGAATTAAGACACCTGACGACAATGGAGAGTCCTGGTGGCATTGTGGTTAAGAGCTCAGTTGCTAACCAAAAGGTCAGCAGTTCAAATCCACGGGCCTCTTCTTGGAAGCCCTATGGGGCACTCCTCTGTCCTGTAGGGTTGCTATAAGTTGGAACCAACTTGATGACATCTAACATTAACAACAACGACAATGGGACAGATTGGACCTCATGGTAGTAGGGGCCAAGTGATGGCACTCTGACAAACACAAGTTGGATGTGGTTACTGTAATGGACAGCGGAGTCAAAGCAGTCATCAGAATAGCTGACTCATATGGATTTATGGTGTTGGCTACTTAGTCATGGTGTCCCTAGCACTGAAATAGATGGGAAATCTACTAAGTATTTATTTGATCTGTACAAGTGGAAGATTCTAGGTCCAGTGAACAGCAGTCTAACTTGAATCACCAGAGTAGTCTCAACCGCTCAGTCAATTCCCAGACTTAAGCCAATTTACAGACCCACAACCCCTTGAATGAAGGGAAGGCCAGGTCCCTTTGAAGAAGCACCCCATTGTGCTACCAAAAATTTATACTGTTAATCTTTCTCCCAGCCTTCCCCAAAGGGATATACAGCCTTTTATGAGATTGATTGTTCACCAGGGAAAAGGAAATAATCAGACTTCAAAAGGATTACTGGATACTGGCTCTGAACTGACACTAATTCCAGGAGACCCAAAACGTCACTGTGGCCCACCAGTCAGAGTGGGAACATAATGGAGGTCAGGTTATTAATGGAGTCTTAGCCCAGGTTCATTTCCTGGTGAGTCCAATGAGTCACGAAACCCATCCTGTAGTGATTTCCCCAGTTCCAGAATGCATCATTGGAATAGATATACTCAGCAACTGGCAGAACCCCCACGTTGGATCCTGACAAGTGGAATAAGGGCTATTATGGTAGGAAAAGCCAGGTGGAAGCCATTAGAACTGCCCCTATCTAGGAAAATAGTAAACCAAAAGCAATACCGCATTCTGGAGGGATTGTAGAGATTATTGCCACCATCAAGGACTTGAAAGATGCAGGGGTAGTGATTCCTACCACATCCCCATTCAGCTTACTTATTTGACCTGTGCAGAAAACAGATGGATCTTGGGGAATGACAGTGCATTATGGTAAACTTAACCACGTGCTGACTTCAGTTGCAGCTGCCGTTACAGATGTGGTTTCATTGTTTGAGGAAACTAATACATCTCGTGGTATCTAGTAAGCAGCTGTTGACCTGGCCAATGCCTTTCTCTCAATTCTGATTTTGAAGGAACACTAGAAGCAGTTTGCCTTCAGTTGACAAGGCCAGCAATACACCTTCCGTGTCCTACCTTACGGGTATATCAGCTCTCCAGCCCTATGTCATAATTTATTCCACAGGGACCTTGATCACCTTTCCTTTCCACAAGATGTTACACTGGTCCCTTACATTGATGACATTATGCTGATTGGACCTAGTAAGAAAGATGTGTGAATGACTGGGCTTATTGGTAAAACATTTGCATGCTAGAAGATGGCAAATTAATCCCACAAAAATTCTGGCACCTTCCAACTCAGTGAAATTCCTAGGAGTCCTGTGGTGTGGGGCATGTCAAGATATTGTTTCTAGGGACCATGGTCTCGGGGAACATGTAGCTCAATTGGCATAACACAGTTTATAAAGACAATGTTCTACATTCTACCTTGGTGAGTAGTGTCTAGGGTCTTAAAAGCTGTGAGCGCCCATCTAAGATACTCCACTGGTCTCATCCCTTCGGGAGCAAGTGAGAATGAAGAGAACAGGATACAAGGAAAAGGTTAGTCCGGAGGACTAATGGACCACAGTTACCAAGGCCTTCACCAGACTGAGTCCAGTACAGCTAGATGGTGCCTGGCTACCACCACTGACTGCTCTGACCAGGATCACAACAGAGGCTTCTGGACAGAGCTGTAGAAGGATGTAGAGCATAATTCTAACTCACAAAAAAAAAAAAGACCAGATTTACTGGCCTAAAGCAGACTGGAGAAACCCCAAGAGTATGGCCCCCAATGGTGAAGTTATCTCCAAGGTTCACTGTTCAGCCTGAGAGTGGACAGCCCCGTAAAACCAAATGAGACTAACGAGGTACAGTAGTCCAGTGACAAGGGCCAGAAGGCAGAAGGGGACATGGAAGCTGGTGATAGGAAACCCAAGGTTGAGTAAGGATATCGTTGATGTTTTGTGAGATTGTTAACCATTGTCATAGGGCAACATGTGTAATAACTGTTAAATGAGAAACTATATTTTGTTCTGTTAGCCTTCATCTTAAGTGAGAATAGCAGCACAATTGGAAGAGCATGGTCAATGTCACTGAACTGTGCATGTAGAAATTTTTGAAACGGTGTATCTTTGGCTATGTGTATTTTCACCAAAAAAAAAAAGGTTGAGAAGTTAGAGGATTGACATGTTGTGGGGTTGTTAACCAATGCCATAAAACAATATGTGTACTGCTGTTTCATGAGAAACTATTTGTTCTGTAAGCCTTCACCTGAAGTACAATAAAAAAAGAAAAAAGTTACTGTTTCTAAAGTGAAGCATAAGTTACTGCATTTGGCCCCTGTCACAGCTAAAAAGGCGGCACAATGCTTGGTGGGCCTCTTTGAATTTTAGAGGTAACATATGCCTCATTTGGGTGTGCTACTCCAGCCTATTAAGTGACTCAGAAAGCTACTAGTTTTGAGTGGGTGCCCTTCAAGAGAAGGGTCTACAACAGGTTCAGGCTGCCATGCAAGCTGCTGTGCCAC